AGATAGTAATAGCATTGTTTTTGGCTAAGCAATATCAGCCAAAAGAATATAAACACCATTAGACTGAAAATATGATTGATTTTGTTTTACTGGCACTTATCCAAAATTGCAACAGACATCTATTTAGACTGAAGTTTCAGTTCCAATTTTCATGTGAAAATATTCTTCTCATTGATGGAATTCTAGAAATGAGAACTTTTGATGCAGTTAATAGCAATTTAGACACTCAAGCTTTCAGAGAGGAAGGGAGAGAGAGAGAGAGAGAGAGAGAGAGAGAGAGATTGCTTTAACTCAGTATCCCTCATCCAATTTGTCTGCAGAAACAGAAACCTCACAGTTCTTTCCTACTCAACAGGTCTTGAGCACTGACAGATGGTCCATCAAGCAATTTCTACTAATAATTCATATTTTCTTTTCCAAAGACACACTGATTGCCAGTAGAACTTCTGATTGCTGTGATAACAGTGCTGACACCTTAAATTGATACTATCCAACCAGAAGCAAAGAAACATGAAGTGTTAGCCATCCAATATGGCCTTACTTCAGAGAGCCCCATGAGTTCCACCAGCTCAGCTAACACACTGAATGTGGTTACAGACTCCCATTTAGACCTTAATGAGTTCCTCAGAACCAGAACTCCCACAGTGGGAACAATTTTATATAGATCAAAATAAAACTATTTCCTGTTAATTCAGTCAGCTTCTTCAATAAACGATTATCATCATGGGGGGGGGGGCAAGTTTAAAACTCAATAGAGCAGCAGAGCCGCCTTCTAGCTGTCTGTGACTTGAGAGCACAGTTATAGAGGCAACATAAAAACTCCATAGGTGGCACTCACATAATGGTACTGACACAATTAGATGGGCCAAGCTGATGTTAGTGGGCCTGGAGTTATTATTGCCTTTCCCTGTGTCTTCTTCATAAATACTTGCTTCCTTCATGTAAATATGTCCTTTTCTACTCTGCTTGTCTTGTTTGTCCTGTATTCTCATTGCCACAAGGTCAGCTCTGGTCATCGGCACCCTGTGATATAGACTGAACTGTATCATGACTTTATGACCAAGTCCAATCAAGTCCCAACCCTTTTATCTAATAATCTTACTGCATTTGGAGATCTAGCCATTGAGGGAGGAAATTGAGTTTAAAAATGACGTCACTGGAATGACAATCCAAGAATATTGGCATCCTGGCAAGAAATTTGGGACTTGGGAATTAGCAAAGAGTGTTTGTCTATCATGTGTAAAGCCACTGATCCAATCCCCGCAACAACAATCATGACCACTAGGGAAGAAGGCAAAAAGGAAAAAGAAAAATAAACTTTGAACATAAATATCCAAAAGAAAGAGCAAGTAAAGACACAGAGAGTAGACAGCCCCTTATAAGCCAAGGAAAACAGCCTAGATGGAACCAACCTTGTACATATCTTGACCTTGAATTTCTAGCCTCCAAGGCCATGAAGTAATGCATTTCCATGTCTTAAGGCACCAAGCTTTTTATTTTAATCTTTTTAAAAAAATTGGTACTTGTTATGGCAACCCTAGCTGACAAATATTCCTAGGAAGCACAAAGTACATGGAATTTGTTCTAATCTTGGATGTCTGCTGCTGTCATAATCTGAAAACACAAGACACTTGATATATAATCAAGAGGCAGTGGAAAACATTCTACTACTAATCTCGCCCCCACACTGATCCAGGAATCCAAATGAGATTACAGTCTTCTAGAGGAGTGAGGCCATCATCATGCTTGCTGCCACTATCACCTTGTGGTGTTTTGCTGACTAGTAAGGTTTTCTACCAATATATAGCCATAAATAGTAGGTGTTTTTGTAAAAGTTAAGGTACCCAGAAAGGGGAGAAAAGGGAGGGATGAGACTCTGCAGCAGAAGGGGTGGGGAACATGTGCCCAAGAATGGGGAAGCACAGGAACCAAGGAAATGCTGATCACTTACAGGAGCCAAATGTCCCACACATCACAGGCAGCTGCTGGCAGCTGGCAGCCCCAGAGCTTCATCTGCTGCTCACTTCACCAGGCAGTGCTAGCAACTTCCTCTGTCAGGAAGCAGGGAACAGCCTGTTGCAATTCTGTATCTCCTCAGGAAAGAAAGTCCTTCTTCTCGGAACTGTCTCTAGCTCATAGCTCTGAACGTTACAACTATGTCATACAACAGACTAATGAAGAGATGACATCTCTCTCTCTGAATACTCAGAGCAAATATGTGACCATTTGCAAAGTAAATATCTCTCACTGCCATCCATGAACTCCATGGACTTGAAACTGACTGCATTCTTCCATGTTGATCCTTTGCAGGACCCTCCCCACCAGGTGCTGGGTCCTTGTACAATGTTGAAAAACAACAGCCCACAGGCACAAACGACTTCTATTAGCAACACCAAATAGGATATATGACTAGACATTTACGTGATACCAAAGGCAAGGAGTAAGCAGAACATCATAGAATAAAACCTTTGTGCAAACTTTGTAAGAGAAATCACATAGTTAAATTTATGAAACGTTGCAATATACAAATGTGTGACATAGTTAAACCTATGAAAATTTGCAATATACAAACAAGTGACAGCCTAGCATGTGCAAAGACAGCCTGAAAGTTAAGAATGAAGTCAGGCTGGAGCTGGCTCAGTCAGTTTGCTCTGTAAGTAGGAGGACCAGAGATTGGATTCCCAGCACTCACATGAAAGCCAGGTGAACTCTCATGCTTTGGGCAGAGGGGAAGAATGGAGTCAGAGGGTTTCTAGAGGTGACCAACCGGTCTAACTAAATCAGTAAGTTTCAGGGTCAGTGAGAGACCCTTTCTCAAAAACAAGTCGGAAATCGACTGACTGACTGAGGAGTTCACTACATATTGACCTCTGGTTCTATGCATGTATACACACAGACACACACAGACACACACACAGACACACACACACACACAGACACACACACACATACACACACACAGAGAAAGAGAGAGAGAGAGAGAGAGAGAGAGAGAGAAACAGAGACAGAGACAAAGACAAAGACAGAGAGTATGAAGAGTCACTTGAAGAAGGGAGATGTGAATATGCTAATTTCCTGAGGTTTTTTTTTGTCACTATCACTGCCTCCCCCAGAATTTAAAAACACATTCTCTCTCCAATACCAGTTTTGCAGTCAGAAATCAAACCAGAGGTTGCCCTCCTCCAAGAGGAAAAGACAGCTCCCTTGCTTCTAGTGCTTAGCAATGAATTATGAAAACAGAAGTTTGAGTTCTTCTGTCTCTGTGATTTCAGGTGCAGGGATGGCTCCTCTGGGAAGTGTTTCAACTCTCTATTTCGTAGTAAAATAATTCTTCAGCTCACCTCACAAAGCTCCTCTAAAGTGCCATGGAACTCTATAAACAGAGCAAACAACAAATGTCATTAATTTAACAACTGTTTGCTTTGACTTTGTAAGACCCTGCTTATCTTATGAACCCAAAACACTTAAGGGAATTGCACTGGGAATCCAAAACATCTGGAGAGCTGTCTGGCAGCATCCCCAGGGTACAGGAGGCAGTTCCAGGGTAGTGTTCTTGGCCCTAACATATTCCCTGAGTTTGGGTGCTATGGAATTTTCACCTAAGTGCTTTCTCCAAAGGGCCGAAGCCAAACCACATGGGACACCTGAAGCTCTACCCTGCTCATGAGCCAAAGGGATAGTCGATCCCTCACCTCGCAGAGAACAAAAACGTTGTTTCAGTCACACACCTGAATAGCAACCAGTCCAAATAGAAACTCATGTTTCTTGACCAAAACACAGTTTCCACGCTATCTGTAGAACAGTTCGTCCTGGATTGGCACTCCCCTGTGCTCCCTGTGCTGGGATCCACCCCTCTTTCACTCGGGAAGTCCAGGAGTGCACAAATTTACAGGGGATTCCAATTCCAAAAGGCCTCCCTCCTGTCTTCCAACCTCTACTTCAGGATTTGCAGCTGCAGGATGCCCTCTGCTGGCAGGGGAGGAAATGTCTTTGGCGTGTTAAGCCAAGGGCCAGGGGCAAACCTGTGGAACCCAGGTTGGGATGTGTGCAAATGCAGACAGAAGTCCCTTTCAAAGATTCCCAACCCAGGGGCAGACTTTGCACCCTCACCACGCCCAGCACACTCAAGGAGGGCAGAGCTCCAAAGCAAACCTAAGTCCTAATAGGCCCGGGATGGAGTTCAAGTGCAGAGTAAGGCTTAAAGCATGAGCAATGGGGTAGAACTGCTTAGTTTGATACAAGAATTTGCTCGTTGTTAGCTTCCCCGCCTTCAGCTCGTTATTTAGATCTTCTCTGTCTCAGGTGCTTCTTCATAAAACAGAGATAGATGACCTACCTCCTGGCCGGAAACACAGTCCCACTAAAGCACCGCACATTAGATTCTTAGCCTGGAACCCAATACTGAGGGTCAAGAGGAACAGAATTCCTTGTAGTCCTCTACAAGATTAAAACACTTTTAATCAGAAACTGGCTTCTCGATATTGCGTCCCACCATGTTTTGATAGCTAGTAAGCAAAAAAAAAAAAGTTATCTTTTGATATTTAGGGCATTTACTTGTTAATGTGACCACCATATCCGGGAGAATGCCTGATGTATATGAATGGTCTTTTCGCAATTAGTCAATTACTAAAGACTATGTCCCTAGTGGCAGGGTAAATTACAGTGCGTTTGAAAACAGGTTGAGCGCTTCGTTTCTAAATTAGGAGCAATGAATTCGTGTTGAAAGTATAGCCAATAACTTGCAGCGGTTCCCTTGGTGTCTAGTGAAACCCTTTTACAGCAAATACCTGGTCAATCAATATGGACTCGCCACACTGGTCTTATAAGGACTACCCCAACACTGAAAGGGGGGTGTTAAAGAGGTACCCAAACCACCACTCCCCACCTCAAAGAACCAGGTAGAGCCTTCCCTTCAAAGTGGGGGACAGGTGTCACAGAACCAAAGCCTTTCTGTCCCTTCCTGGAAGGTGCCAAGTAGCCAGCAGGCGCTTGCCTCTTACCACGAACTCCTCCAAAGTCTGGTAGGTCTTGCCCCGGAACTCGCAGTAGTTCTTCCTCTCCTTGCACTGCGGACAGCACTGGCTGGTGTCGACGTGGATGCAGCGCGGGTGAAGCCGCGGGCACTCTGGCTGTGCGCAAAGGGGCCCCTCCTCCGTACACAGACAGGGGCAGGCTGAGGGACCTGGGGCGAACTTCTCCCCAATCGCATACACGAAGCCACTCTCGTCCACGCAACCCTTGCCGCGGTAGTCTGGGTAGGCGTATTCCTCAGGCAGCTCTGGTGTGGGCACGAGTTCTAGGCTGATCGCTTCCTGGGCCGCGGCGGCTGGGGGCTCCCCCTGGGGAGTGTCCCCCCGAGGTCGGACCTGCCAGTCCGAGGCCTTGACACTCCCGCCCTGAGCAGTCCAGGCCTGCTTCTGCTTGCTCCACGCCTCCCGGCTCGCGAGCGCGCGGCTACCCTTACTCTTCCAGTCCCGGGCACTGCTGCCCTCGTCCCTCGCGGCGCGCCCGAGCTCGCTCACCCTCCCGGTGTTGTCCCGAGACGCGTGCTCGCGTTTCTCCTGGCCGGGTTGTTCAGGAGCTTGGGCCAGCTTCTCCAGCGGGATGCTCGGACTGCACAGAGCCACCATCAGGCAGCAGGTGACCAAGAGGGAACTGGAGAGCGCGCCAACTGCCATCGCAGAGGAGCGAGGCATCCCCTACCACGTCCCGGCGGGCGGGCGGGCGGGGAGCGCGGACGATGAGCGAGTCGCATTCACAGCCCGGGGGCGCGCCGCTGCCAGCCGGGAGTCGCCGTCCCTGCGGAGAGAACAGCAGCACAACTGAGCTCCGCGGCCCGCGCGCACCTCGGCCCCGCCGTGGCCCCCACCCGCCTCGGCGCCGCCCGGGCTCCCGCATCGCTCTAGATTAACGAGCTGGACGCCAGAGGCGGGGGCAGCTTGCCCAGTGTCTGTACACAACGGGCTTCTCGGACATCACACATGTGCAGTCATATATAGCAAGGGAAGTCCAACAAAAACACCGGCCCAGGGTCTCCTGCAGCGGAGATTAGTGCTGGTGATGGTCACTGGCAGGTTGCGGAGCCCAGAAAATGCAGCAAGGCGGGCGGGTGCGGTCTGCAAGGCTTGCTCTCAAAGCTCAAATTCCGGCACCTGGGCTAGCCCTCCCTAAGTCGTGCCCGCATTTCCCGCAGGTTACTAAAGGGAGAATTCCGCAGTGGAGTTGGAGATCGACAAATGGGCTCACAGATTAAAGAGAAACCCTTCCTCTCTTGCCCAAGAGATTTGTGCATGGAAAGGGAGCTGGGTTGGGGAGAGCCAGGGAAAACAAACAAACAAATAAACAAACAAAAAACCCACTGCTACTCCAGCTACTCCGAAGACCCCAGGAGGCGTTTGTAACTTCTTAGATGCCGCCTGTCTAGGAAGCACAAGTCCCCTCCGTTCTCTAACCTGGGCACTACCTGGCCTCTGCCTAGTTGACCCGCTTCGGGTTTCCCAAGGCTTTGCTCCCTTGCCGCTATCCCCCTTCCTGTGCCAGACTCTTTACTAGGCGAGTTGGAGGGTGACATGCGTGCTATCACCGGCAACAGCGCTGTCTTGGAATAGCTTTTAATTCGGAGGGGTCTTGGTGATGGAGAAGGAATGTCTGAGTACTGGGAGGGAAGGTGGAAGGTGCAGGGGAATAGGACTAGGGCCAAGACTATTTCATTAAAGCATGTTGTCCAGCCTTGGTAGATTTCAAAGTTTCTGCCCAAAGGAGCCTAGAGCCTCAGACACCTCTGGTCACAGAAATGCCGATCTATTTGCCTCTTCTAAGCACCCACGCTCTCGGTGCGCACCAGTGCGTCTGACCCCTTTGCCTCAGCCTTCTCTATTAGGACTCTAATCATGCTGGCCCCTGGCTCACGGCCAACCCCAGTGAATATCAGCTAGAGCGAATCGCCCATATTTAAAACTTGGGAGGTAGGAAGGGGTCCTCCCCAGCGGCTGGGCCATAGAATAGTTTTCGGAGGCGTCCCCATGCCCGCGGCGTGGACCTCCAACATGCACCCTCAACCCAGCGGACTGGCACCTACATACATGAGCTCAGGACGCGGGAGGGACGCCGGGCTCTAGCGGGCGCGGTCCCGGGGCTCCAGTGCCCATCCTGGGACTGGCGGGGCACCAGCGCAGGGCGGACCGCGGAGTGCACAGTCCGACCTGCGCGCTCCGCCCGGCGCGTGCACCCAGCTAAGGCATCTGACCCAGCCGGTTCATCCCGCAGCCAGTGGCCGGTAGCCTCGGCCCCGAGTCCTGTCAGTGCTAGCGCCGCCTTCCGCCGCTCATCCCTGGTTCTTGTCCCTGAGTCTCCAGCACGAAAAGCGCCCAAGCCCAGTCTAGCTCTCTCCGCTAGGCAGGCAAGGAATATCCCCCAAACTGAATCGCGGGGACTGGCGGGCAGTCTCTGTTCCCAAGAAGAGAGGAGCGGCTCCGAGTGCGTCCCAAGGGCCAATGGGACGCAGGCTGGCTGGGAGCCCGCGCGCCCGCCGCCTGCCTCCTGTCGCAGCTGCCTGTCGTGGGGCTTGCACCCCGCTGCTCCCTCCTCCGCTGCCCACGCTTGCGAGGCGTCGCCAACGCTGCCTACGCTGCCCTTGTTGGGTGGGAGGGCTCCCGTCGCATGCGCTGCGGTCGCCACCGCCGCTTAGCCCACCTGTCAGTTGTTCTCAGGCTTGCTTTTCAATCTTTGTCACTCACTCCCCTCTGGACCTTTTATCTTGGCTTTTCTTCTTTCTGTTTATCCTTTTCTTTAAAATCCTCTCCCCTAATTGGCCCCCTCTGGCTTTGCTCTCTGTGGACACAATTGCTTTTGTGGCTGTTGGAAACGTAAACCAAACTGTTGAGTTTGGAATCGTAAGGATGTGTTAACATAGACTGTTGGGAGGTTTATTCCGTCTTTATGTCCAGAAACCCAGAGGTCCAGACAAGGAAGAGTGAGAAACTCGGGAGTATATCAAGCAGCACACCCTCCGGCTTGCACCACAGAGGCAGCAGTGGCTGCTGCTGCTTTTGACTTGTTCTTATGCTGGAGTGGGAAGCAAGTCCGTTAGCGCCACTCTGATCTTGAACAAGAAATTTGCTGCTTTTCTTGGATAAAAGAATAAAGGCCAGTGGTGTCTGTTCAAATTTATCTCTGAAGCGGGATGTTTAAGGAAATATCTATTTCCTGGACTGTGGTTACTGGCCACGCCAAGGTTTCTCAGATAGCTGCACTACTTCACAAGGTTAGGCCCTTTGCTGACAGTGAGGACTGTCTTAGGACGAATTATTTTCTCCGACTTTATGTAGATGTGATCAACCGAGGTTTAAATGGGGAACCTGAAACAACAGGGCCTAGAAATTCCCTGGGAGACCCTCCACAGGAGAGCAACCATGCACACTGATAAGAATTTAGACAGTTTCCTTGCTACCACTCTTGTCGCCTTCAGGGATGAGAAGAGCTGTCTTGTGCCTGGGGGCTGCTGCCTTACCTCCAGCGGTTCCCTGATCCTTTCCCAGTACTCATCAATCATAACTCTAGTGCTGTATGATGTCTCTGATACAGATACCACCACAGGGTATGGTGAGAATGGGCTGGGGTTGTGATCATTTCGAATTTGAGAAGTCCTCCATGGGGTACCTAGAGACAGCATCAACTGTGCTGTAGAATCAAGGATGTTATTGCTAATTGCCCCACTTATGAAATAGCTGTGCACTTTCTGGGACTATGTAATAATAAGTGTGAAGAAGCATAACTGAAAAGTCAGGGGTCCAATTGAAGGAATGAAGATGTTTTATTTGCCTCATCTTGATCCCATGAGGATGTTTCATTTGTCTTACCTTGATCCCAAGTCTCTTTGCATCTGGAGGGCCTTGTGACTTGTCCCAACTGGGAAAACTGGTCACTTGTCAAGTTCACACACAAACACATCACTTTTCATATAGAATTTTTCCTTCCTTGTTTGTCCGTCTGAACATTTGTTAAGACCACAGAATTTTCAGGTATTTATGATTTATATTGCAACATTTACATCCTATCTTGGTTGGCTTTTATTTCAATTTGACCCAAGTTTGAGACATCCAAGTGGGGGCGGGGTGGAAGTTATGGAGAGAAGTTGAAGCTTGACACAAGTGGCAAGGTTTAAAATAACTGCCCATAACTGCCCTCTTTTAAAATTCAACTCTAGATATCCAGTCTCTATAAAATTCTAAAATCTCCTTAAAAGTTCAGTCTCTCAGCTGTGGGATCCTAACAAAATCAAACAGGTTAAATACTTTCTTATTCCAAGAGGGGAGAACCAGGGCACCTTCACAATCTGAACAAAGCGAAATCAAATTCCAACAGTGTGAAGTCAGTGTCAGACTTCTGGGACTCATTCACAGTCTTCCCGGCTCCTTCAACGGGCTTGGGCAGCCATTGCGCATGCAGCTTGTCTTCCAGGGTCAGGCTAGCTCCATTCTCCATCTGCTGGTGCCCTAGGTGGTTGTCCCATGATATTGGCATCTCCAAAATGCCAATGTCTTCACTACGACTGGGCTGTACCTTCACTATTAGTGTGTTCTGGGCTTTCTTCAAGGACTCTGACCATGTCACTTGTGTCGAGTTCCAACATATCTCCATAACCCCTTCAAATCCTGGGGCTTTTGACTGCAGCTGAGGATGTGCCTCCACCCAATGGCTTCTCCTGGGCTCATCTACTCTTTCTGACCCCTTCATGCCCTTGAAGTTAGCACTGCCTGGGTGACTCGTACACTACTGTTTGATTGCCAGCCTGAAGAGCAACCTTGTCTGCCTCTGGACCACAGCTTTGTCTCTCTCAATGCTTTTTTTTTTTTTTTTTCTCCCAAGACAGGGTTTCTCTGTGTAACAGCTCTGGCTGTCCTGGAACTCGCTTCATAGATCAGGCTGGCCTCATACTCACAGAGATCGGCTAGCCTCTGCCTCCCAAGTTCTGGGATTAAAGGTGTGACCACCACTAACTGGCGATGCTGATTTCTTAAACACTGCTTATTACTTAGCTCAGATGACTAGCATCAACTGTTCTGGTAAAGCATTTTTTTTTTTTTTTGTTAGTGGTGCTGGTCTCATGTTAATCATGCTTCTTTCTTGAGCCTTTGCTGACCAGAACCACAGATTCTTAGTTAAAAATAGGAAGTTATTTGGAGAGAGTCTTTAAACTTGCCTCTAAAACTTCACAAACCAGAACTCCATCACCCGCATTTGTCTCAACATTCTTATCGCCCAAGATTTCAAAGAACAGCTCATTGGTCTCTGAGCATTCAGTGACTTTTCCAGCCCAAAGTCCTTGTACAGTTCTCTTGAAAACACCGTGGTCAGGTCTGTCACAGCAATACCCTCCTATAGAAATGTACCCTTATAGCAATACCTCCCCTTCAACAATATACCCTTACAGAAACATGCTGTAGGAAGTCTTACAGCCAGTGGTTACCCACCACCCACTGGGGTGTGGCCTCTTATACTATATAAGCCCAATGTAGAGCAAGCATCGGCTCTCTTTTTCTGGCTGCGGGATTCGGTTTCTGATCTCCATGCAAGCAGAGGATTCTGATTTGTGAGTCTACCCCTAAATAAATAACCACCTATTTCTCATTTCTGAGCTAGTGTGGGGTTTCTTTTAAATGTCCTTCTTCATTTTACAGTTTCTAAGCTAGCCGGGTGGCCAGGACGAACAAGCGGGCCCTCCTCCTCCTACAGAAATACCCCTTACAACAATACCCCTTTACAAAAATACCACCTTACTACAATAACCCCTTATAGCAATACCCCCTTACAACAATACATTCCTACATCCAGCAGCTAAACAAAGAGAACTTTGCCACCACAGAAGGGATTTTCCACTCATCTATTTCCAATGTAGTAAATTTCTGTGGTCCATCTTTCTCCCTGTATCCTACCTTTCCTTTATCTTTTCTTCCCATTTTTCTTCCTCTCCTCTCTCTCTATCCTCCCTACCTAGTCTTTTAGGTTAGAGAGTGAAGGACAGCAACAGAAAGATCTTTGTCAAGGAGTAAGGTGGTATGGGTTTCATCAAACACCACCAAGTTTTGCTTTGAAACATGGAGCAATTACCCAGTCTTGCAGGGTTCACTGTGTCTTTAAAAGGAAAATAATCAACCGTGGTTAGGAACCTCTCCGTTTTGGGAATGGAGCACAATATTGCTTCACCTGTGTAGGACTTTAGCCCAGTTTACTTCTTCCTCTTTTCTCTCTTTATTCAGGAGTTAAATCAGTCAGCTGCATTATCGTTCTATTTTAGTGACCAGGTTGAGAATGTGTGATCAACTTCGGGGTAGCCCTGAGCAAGAGCTGTGCACGTGGATTCTAAGCAGGGTTCAACTTTGCCTTGAAAGGTGGGTCACCTTTCTTGTCCCCTTAGGCAAAATTAATTCTACCTTCTGCTTCTCCATCCAGGCATGGTTTATGTCTCTATTACAATCTTACAGCACTCAACTTTTTCATAGCTCCAGGGTGTCGGTACTCACCTAGGAAATATCATCTTACTAAATGACTGAACTGTGTTCCATCCATCTTTCTATCTTTGGTGCTGAGGGTCCTAACAAGACCCCTTGGGGGAGGGACGGAAGTAATCAGGGAAGTGGGAAAGAAGGGAACGGGAGGAAGGGCTAAGTGTTACTTCAGTTCAGTTGCCATCTGGAGAGGGCAGATCATTCCTGGCTTCTTATGGAAATTCAGTTCAGTTGGCTGTTTGTGCACTAACACTACAAAGCTTGATCACTCAAATCCCACTCCCAGAAGAGTAGAGGCACAGTGGTGACACAGGACACTAGGAGGGGTTTCTCTTCACGCCAGTTCCTGAGCCTTATTCATCTGCTTCTCACCTGTATGTCTTACACTAGTGCCCGGCTATAACTGGATTTCAAGTTTGTTGGCCCCTTTATGGGAGACCAAACCAACAGAAGTATGGCTGAGGAAGGATACCTTGATGGGAAACAGTATCCTGGACACATACAAACAAGGTAGTTTGTGAGTGAAAAGAAGTTAGAAGGATGAAAATAATCCAATGCAACAAAATCATTCGCTAGAACAGAGGGTGTTGGGTATTGGTAGATTGACGGTAAATACAGGTGGTGTGAAATGAAATACAGAGTGAAGTTAAGGTGACTGAAAATGGCCAAGGAAGGGAAATGTTCCTATGGGGTCTGGCAAGCAGTTACATGGAATGAACACACACCTTATGACCTCTCCTGGGAAGAAAGAAGCCATTTGGGTACACACGGGGGAAGGTAACTTAGAAGTAGCAGAGGGGAGACGTGTCTGGCTGCCAACATGCCTGTCCTTGAGGCTGGCAAAGTACAAAGATGCTTCCAAGGAGAAAGAAGACCTCTGTGAATTCATGTTCTTTACTCATGGTGTAAAGCAAGAAAAGTGGAAAATCAAAGAGCTTGACCAGTGTCCTGCTGACTGCCAAAGGTTTAGGCCCGGATAGAGCTGTCCTCACTTACTTTACACCTCTGACAAAGGCACATTCGTGAACTCTTGGTATGAGCCAGAGAAGGAAAGTATATC